GTTTGTTGCTTCATAACATCATCTTCATTATCCGAAGAAAAAATGTAACTACGTCTACTTCTAGACTTTGTTTCACTATTATTAGATTGTCTAGAAGAATGACGGTGTCTCTTATCATCCGCACCATCCTTGCGTTTCTCTTCGGATTTCGACCTATGAGTAAATATTCCTGATATAGTACGAACGAGACCTTCGGATTTTTTCTCTTCTTGGGCTGTTTTCTCCAGCTCTGTATACTTTCCTTCCTTTTTTAATAGGCGGCGAATACCATTAGATTTTTTATGGTCCTGTTGAGACTTTTCTTCAATCATTTGATGCTGTGGCGGTAGGCCATTCTTTGTTTCTTCGATAGTTAATGGGTTGTAATCATTATTTTGCAAGTATTCCGAAGAACCTGAAGTAGATTTATTTTCTTCTTCAATTTCTTCAACATGAGCATGAAGACCATCTTTGAGAGATTTCGTGGCGGTGGGTGGTGCCATTGTGTTTATTTAGGTATATAAAAGGAAGGTTTTTATTATTATTAATAATATATAATTATTATTATTATTTATTAAATATAAAAACCAGAGTTTTGTAAAGATATCAGGAGTGGGAGTTTTCCATAAAGAAGTTTACAGAAAATAATGCCAATTTATGTTTCAAATTCCTTGGGAAATGTCAAAGAGCCGTTTCCTTATCTTTATATTAACTTAATAAATTTCTAATTTATGTAGTTGCCGTTTGTTTATTTTCACGGCCACACGTTTGACAAAGCACGACTGTCCAACTTTAAATAAAAAAAGATAAAAATCTTAATTTTTTTTTTTCAACTTTAAATATAAAAAAAATAATTTTTTTTCAACTGACTCCTACATTCCTTATCTTTATCTGGCAGAAAAAAATGCAGATTAGATTTTGCATATAAATATAAAAAAAATATATATCTAATATATATATTTTTATATGTATGATGTATACGTTCCAATTGCAGAATCGATAAGGTAAGAGGAAATCGTGTCAGGTAGATTATGGCAAAGTTTTGTAACATGATTAGACCGTATTTGAAATGAGGAGCGGGAGATTTACTACGTACGTATATACACATATACGTATTTTATCTACTTTAAAAATCATTTCCATCATAAATTCTCAAAGGTTGAACTGCACTAAACGCCCGTGCGAAATTTTGAAGTGATGACAATTATAACAAATAGAATTATCGCTCTAACTTGATTTTTATATAATTAGAAATTATAATTGAACTAATATTGTTATTATTTTGAGAAGTTCATTTATTCAGCAATTTTTGGAATGTCATGATGAGTGTTCTTACGTAAATACGCAAGTACGCGCATGAGATGTACAGTAAGTACGCAAAAGATATGTACAATAGTTTCATTTTTCGTAAATGTTACACCACATCGAGTATCGTCGATTCGTTAGTTGCTTGCGTATATTAACCGTTTCATCGTACGTATTTGATGGTATGTACTGTGTTAGCTGTGTCGTAATTCGGATGATTACAAAT